AAAGCGAAAAAAATGGTCATACTGCTGCGTCGTTCAGTGGTATAAAAATAGTTTTCAAAACAATTAAATTTTTCCGTACGGATATTGTTTTCAGTATTTCTCCCGCGGCCACATCTAAAACTATAGTTTCAACGCGCGAGGTCATAAGCTAGTTTAAAAACACAGAGAATTTCTCCATATACATATTCTTTGGATTCTTTTCAGATGCAAATTGGAAGATTTTTAAGAAGCACAGATAACGAAGTAAAATGGAATCATTTGAAACTTTCGTTGTATCTATCTTATAATATCATGATACAAATTAATAAATAGTATTGAATTCCGTTTGATACGCGAAAAATGCTTGTTTAAAATGACATAAAATAAGGATCTACAATACTTACTGCATAGAAACGTTATTATTATTCAATGGCTACATATGAATAAATGTAATTAATTATATCAGTCAAAACTACTATTCGCAGAATCTAATCAAATGCTTTACGAATTATTAGAGTAGAATTAAATAAGAAAAGCAACAAAAATGACGATTGTTAGACATTAGATGTATAAATAACAATTTTCTTTGCTTATTACTTATGCAGTTATCGTAAGTTTTGTTTTTACATCTTTTACAATTTGTTAATAAAATTGATTTAATATTAGAATTAATTTACCTTGAAAATACATTGAAATAACTTCTTTCGAAATAAGATAGAAGCGAAATATTTTCAATAAGATTCAAACGTTTGTCAAAAACAGACAATTTTGTATCATACAAAATCAATTAAAACTTAAAGAATTATTTGACGCCAGTACATGATTAACCAATGTAGAAAAATTATTAAACAACGCTAGCTGGCGAAATCTAAGTAAAGAAATTTTTGGCGAAAACTGGCTGAGGTAATGTTTTTCGCAATAAATTTCTTTAATTAGAATTGGCCAGTTAGCGACGTTTAACAAAATCAATTGAATTAATTTTTATAGTATTTTAATAATTATTACAATTTTCCATTATATTCACCTACAACTAATATTATTATTAAGTCACGTTAAAGCCTGAATATAGATACGGACAGAATTTTCATAAATATATTATCAACTTATCAAGTATACTTTTCAAAGTCATATTAAATATTTATTTTACTCGTATTTGTGCATGCAATCTTCTTTTTACGATAACTATCTCAATATTGTGGAATAACCGCAAGTCATCAATAACCAGTTCGGAAAACATTTGCGCGAGCCAAGGGAAAGACCGTTATTACCGAGCGAAAATGAAGCTTGCTGAAAATTATTTCGCAATCAATACACGTTACGTACGAGTCTTCTTTTTTAATTACGGAAAATAAGTAAAACGTAAGCTTCAATTTTCGCTGTCATAATCTTTTACATCACACGCATACATTTCGTGTTCTCATTCTCGTTCTTCCTAAATTAAACTGCATCGAGTAATTTTCTCTCATTTCAGTTCACTAGCGTTATCGTTGCTGAAAATTTGTTCGCAATCAATACACGTTACACACGAGTCTTCTTTTTTAATTAAGGAAAATAAGTAAAGCTTCAATTTTCGCTGTCATAATTTTCTACATTATACGCGAACATTTCGTGTTCTCATTCTTGTTCTTCCTAAATTAAGCAGTATCGAGCAATTTTCTCTCATTTCACTTTATTAGCATTATCGTTTACGAAAGCGCGTATGCGTAGCTGTAAACGTATGATTTGTATATACGAGTACATGAGTATTTGCAGTGTATTAGGCTTAAGTCCATGGTCTCGCTAAGCCCAAATGACTGTGCGGATCAACCATCCCTGCGAGATACGCACGAATTTCTCTGCGGCGCTTGTGTTACACATATCTTCTTGTGCATCGTATTCGATGCAAAGTGCAAGTCACCTAATGTCGCGCTAAGAACCAGCCGTCAATGGCAGACGCGATCATAAATTTTATCACGTACACGTCTGCGTTTTGCGCGCGTGTGATCTTTGATCCGGTCGATGCAGGTCTACGATCGCTACGCTGCATTTATGCGCTCGGGGGCTCTTTGAGATCGGAACGAAGGAACATCCTAGCTCTGGCACAAACGTTATATGCGGTAAATAAAGGTGTGTGGTATACTGTAAGCTCGTCCCATCCTATGATACGCTGACCGCTGGCCAGTATCGTAACGCCCGTACTTCCGCAAAGAGTTTCGGAATTTGATTGCAATTTTATGGACGGCCCGGGGTGTGTGCGAAACGAGGGGATTAATGTAATTCTCGGTGGCATCAGGGCGGAGTGGTGAAAGGAAAAGGTTACGGGAGCGAATGCCCGATAACGATCAAGATATCTTCGGCAAACACCGCTACGAACGATGGGGCCGTAAATGCCAGTCGCTTTCGTAT